TTAGCTCAGAGCCGGTCTTCCTCAGCAAAAAGAGGAGGATTAGCACCGATGTTAGCTTAGGGCTGATCTTCCTCACACACACAAAAAAATCAGCTCCTTATCTTGGAGGAGAGGAATGAAAGAAGATTTATACCACACACACACACACACACACACACACAAACACACACGATGCTCTGGCAGCAGGTCTTGCTTAAACATCACCTCGGATAATCATCACTTGTGAGCAGATCTTCTTTCCTGTCCAGTTAGTTTCTAACCTGGTCATTCTGTGCTTATTTTTGTCCGTTTCTCCACCCACCTGGGAAAGGCAGAGAAAGCCACGCACCGCGCAGCCCCTAAGAACTGGGGCTTAGGGCTCGCGGCTCCCCCTGGCCCTCCCACCCCTCCCAGGATCCCGGAGCGGCGAATGGCTGCAGAAGTGCCAGGGTTCTCTTGGGGACCCCGGGGTCTCCTGCGGAGGGGCGTCAGGCTGTCAGGGGGCGAGGTAGTGACAGGCGGGCTCTTGCCCGTCGGATGTGCCCGGCCAGTCCGGTCCAGGGCAGGAAAGGCCCGTCCCCATCCGCAAGGCTTCGGGGATCCCGGGGCTGGGACCGTGCAGGGGAGTTAAGGTGTGGTTTCCGGGGGTGTGGAGGAGCCAGGTGCAGCCCGGGGCGGAGGGCCGGGGCTCGGCGGGGCGGGGCCAGGGCAGATCCGGTGTTTGCCGAGGCAGAGGGGCGGGCCGGGGCGGGCCTTGGCGCCCGAGAAGCTGCCGGGCAACTTTTCCCGGCTCTCACCCGGGAGGAGGAGAGAAGCTCTGGAGACTGCTTTGGAGAGTGTCTGGATTCTTGGATCTCTCTGCAAACCCAGAGCAGCTACAGTCCCCAGGGCAGGCTCAGGATGCGGCCAGGACGGACAGGGGCCGCGCCGCTGCGGCTGGTGTTAGTGCTCAGTCAAGGTAAGCGAGGAGTTTGCTCCGCATCGGCTGCAGGAGGGACCTGCGCGGGTCCCGGGGGCGGGCGGGAGGGGTTATGTGGAATGAGGGCACAGGCAGCGCGCGTCTCCCCTTGGATTTCACGTGGACCAGGCTCCCTGCCATCCGGAGCCGGATGGAGAGACTCCCCATTCCCGCTCTCCCCTGCCTGGTGTCCCCATAAGGCGTGTCTCACCCTGTCTGTTAAACACCCTCCAAAGTCATCTCAGTGCGCGCTTTGGTTTTAGACACACGCACGCGCACACATGCATAGAGGGAGTGGAGATTAACGGGTGTCCTGGAGATGGCGAGTCCTGCAGCCTGGCTCAGACAGGTGCCGTGCCACATTGGGACCAGTGGGTTTTGTGGGTCCCCGGAATCCGGTCTTGGGCAGCAGCCTGCACCTCCTCAGCGCCGTGCCTGATGACTTTGCAGGAGCCTGGGAGCCCAAAGTGCTTATTTTTCAGCCCAAGGGTATGAATAATGCCTGTATTTCTTCAGGACGCAGCACTGACGTTTCCTCCCATAGGGTACATAGAAAAACCAAGTGCCTCTTAAATACTTGGCAGAGGGGAATTCTTCCTTCCTTCTGCCTTCCTCTTGTTGTAACGTCGTCTGCTCAACGAAAGTAAACTTAGGCCAGGAAAAGTTCTTTCCACTTGCTTGATCTTAGCCGCCAGAATTCACCGGAGCAGCAGCTGCAGCTGCAGGGCGGTGAGAGTGCGGCCCACCCATCGCCCGACTCCTTTTGCACTGAGAGGGGAAGTGAGGCTGGGGTGCCGAGCTGCTGTGCGACCATCGTCCACCAAGAGAAGTGTCCCCAGACCTTATCCAGAGCCTAGTATGTGCTTACTTGAAGAACTTCAGTTTACTTGGTGGGAAAGAAGCCACATTTGTATTTTGTAGTTTGAACAGCTATCAAAACAAAAAAAATGGTCTCTGATTTTCAAGTGTTTTCACAAAGAAGATAAATATTTCCTAAACTGTCCTCCTTTCGAGGCATTTAGCCAGTCGCTATTTTTTATTATGGAAGAAACCTAGTCCAGATGGACCCTGTAGCATTTTCTCCAGGTCAGAGATAACAGAGAAATAGCACCACCATCCCCACGCCCAGCAGAGAATAGGCATCAACAGGTTTTCTCTCTAACCCTGTGTCTGGTGCTTCACAGATATTCTTTCTGGGGACTCCAAGAGTGTTTTGAGAGGCCATCAACCCTAATTTAGGGGTTTCAGATAAAGTTGGATTCACATTGAAAATTAGTCCCTGGAACATGGCAACCTTCCCAAGAGCTAATAGACATTTAATTCCAAGCTTTGCATTTCTCTTTAATTACCCATTAACAGAAGCTATGGAAACATAACATCATTTTCTTATCTTTGAGCTGTTGAGGCTTGTTTTTTAAAGGGGAATGAGAAATACTTTGATGGAATGTGTTGCTGCAAGGCATGAGGTCAGGTACAGAGATTTTCACCTGGAGTTATTTGCTAAGGACAACTCAATGCAAGCAAGCAGAGGTGATCTGAAATGACATCTGTGAAAATATTTTGCATGTTTATTCCTTCCTTCTGCTCCAGTTGTTTGCATATTCAAGGAACAGGTTTTCTTTTAATTCAGGATGATCATAATAAAGCTTTGTCATCTGTGATATCAGTCGAGGTTCCTATGGAAGCAGCATCATTTTTTTGAACCATGAATATCCAAAATTAACATGAACAAATGAAATCTCTAGGTCCGTGATAGCTGAAATTTTTTATGGCATTACCCTATCTGTATAAAATTTTGGAGTATTTGTCATTACTATACACACACAGATATAGTTGTTTACAAATTATATACATGTACAATTGTTTTATATAAATACATACCAAAAATTAAAATGTAAAAGGCATATATGTGTGTGTCTTTATATATCTTCATCCTCTCCAGCATACACACCAACCACTGTGGAAACTTAAAACCCTCAAATCTCATTTAACACTTAGATTCACATTCGCTTTTCATAAACCTTCTCACGGGTATTTAAGAAACAGCGATATTCATAGTTTGGTTCCATATTATCACCTTTCATTGGTCATTCCTGGGTTTAAGTGCTTGCAGTCATGAGACCTAGATAATCCCTAAACTAAATAATAGGTCCGTGGAGAAAAGTGAAATGTAATTTTAAAATGATGATGTCACACATTCTCAGGTGTGTTGCCAGGCCAAGGACAATCCTCCCCCTGGGTTCTAGGCCTCATCTTCTCTCACTGCCTCTGGTACCCTGCACCAGTCATCCCCTCTTTAAGGAATATCTTCACATCCTCTCTCTAATTTTCCCTCAGGCTGTAAATAATTCTAGTTTCTCTCATAGTAAGCAACTCCTCCTTTTAATATGTAATTTGGCAGCTCTTTCCTCCTGAAACACTCTCCACCTCTGGCTTCTGCTCTTTTCTCCTATTTTCCCGGCTGTTCTTTCTTAGTCTCCTTCACAGGCTCATCTGTTTGGCCCAGTCCTTGGTGTTCACAGAGTTCCATCCTGGATCCTCCTCTTCATTCTACCAATTCTCTCTGGGCCAGTTCCCTGCTCAAGTCATTATCTCCAGCCAGACTCCCCTCCTGAGTTCCAGATTACTATTTCCATCTGCTACCAAGTATCTCCACCTAGATGTCATAAAAGCACGTCAAACTCCACATGTCCTCAACTGAGGTCAACACCTGTCCTCTGAAATTTTCTCTTATATCTTCTACTATTGTTTAATGGCAGCAATATCGTGTATTCCTAAAACTAGGAATCCTTTCCCTTGTTTTCACCCTCACGGCCAATCTCTCAGGTTCTGTTCTCTCTCCTCTCCAACTCATGCAACTTCTGCAACCACCCCGTTCAGGCCCTTGCTTTTTTTGTGTCTGGACAACTACAGTTTTAAAATTGGTTGTCCTGTTTTTGTCTCTTATCCCTCCAGTCCATTCTCCTCATTGTCACCAATGTTACTTTCTGAATGCTTACCTGTATTCAATCACTGCCTTGATTAAACGTTTGGTGGCTCCGCATCTTACATAAGATAAAGTCCAAATTTATTGGCCTGTCATAGAAAGTCCTTCGCCATCTGGCCGCAGCCTGCCTATTCAGTCTTTCCTCTACCACATCCACTCCTGCACACACTTAATGCACAAGCTCACACACTACACATATGCACACACAATACACACACCCCAAAGCCATGTATATCCACCCTTCTGTGTTCTGACTGCACCTGATTATCTTATATTTAGTGTTATAATATTTTCCAGACTATTCTCTTTGCTTTCACTGCCTTGATGCTTTTTATCTTTCTCTCTCATCCCTTTGCAAACGACCGTTGTCCAATGTTAGAAGAGACAATCTCAAGCAGAATTATAAAGTAGGGAAGTTTTTCTTTTGTAACAAAAAAAGGAAGCTTGAGATAATCTCTCATTTCTGGGACTAACTCTAAACTACCTCTCTCCTCTCATCCTCAGCCCCTCAACAGACTTAGGCCCCCCTCTGAGAACGTAACTCCTCCCACCCCGTGGCTCTCCAGCTGTACCTGCTATACCTGCCCAACCTCCGCTGAGCTTTGCTCTCTTAAATACTGGCTTATGAGCCACTGTTTGATTTAAAGTCATGGATTGGGGCTCAGGATTCAGTATTTAAAAACAATTACTCATATGTTTCTGATGTACAGCCAAGTTTAGAAGTAATTGCTTAAATATTAGCACTGCACCTCCTCTTTCCTAACGAATTAAATTTCCAGTGTTGCCTGTACTACCTGGTTGTGAGATGACCACCAAGACAGGTAGATTTCAACACAGGAGTCAGTGAATGCCTCAGTTTGAGTGAATTCCCTCTAAAGTGGGTGCTGACTGCTCCTGTCTCAACGTGCTAACAGCCTTGGGCATATTAAAAGGGAGAAGCCTATTAATGTAAAAAGATGAGCTTGTAATGATGGAATGTTAGACATTCAGCAAAATAAAGACACATTTAGTTAGTGTGTCAAAAATAAAGAATTTCAGGGAAAATATTTGGGACCAAAAGTATCATCCTGACATCATGTAAATATTACTGTTAAAGTCACAAGCTTTAGTCTGGACTATCAGCCCTGCTTAGCTTGGGATATTGCTGAAAGATTCAGCACAGCATAAAAGAGAAAAAACCATGGAAGGCTGTCACTCTCATTAGCAAGTCAAAGATGTGAAGGGTTTTGTGTTTTTTTTTTTTTCATTTGTTATAGTGACAAATGATTTACTCGGATGAACACAATAGAAGAATACTCTCTAAAGAGAAGAATCTTGATATCACAAATCCTGAAACAACAATAGCTTCTGGATATGAAAGTGATTCCTATGATGCCCCTTCACGTGATCCACAGGTGCTTTGTTGATCTGGCTGCAGTGAATTCCATAAAACTAGTATTTGATCATATTTTTACGCAGTAGTTGCTATATGTAAGGCAACGTGCTAGGCCCAATGTGGAACCATAGGAAACTTGAAACATGGTCCAGAGAGGTTGTAGTCTATTCAGAAACAAGTTCAGACATGAGGGAAGGACTTCGTCTCAGCCCCTGGAGGGTGCCTACCCAATTTCAGACCCCGCCATCCTCCTTTCTCACAGAAGTCCAGTTATTGGGTTTCCCTCCTCCTCTGCACACCTAGGCGATCCAGGGGATGTTGAGGGGTGATTGGACTGAGCCAATCATGATGGTCCCATACCTCTCGCCGGTGTCTGATTTATACATGGGCATGTAAAGCACTTTTGGCCAATGAGATGTGGAGGGAGATCTGCTCCAGGACTTTTGGGAAAGAATTTTTCATTCCTCGGAGAGATGCTGGTTAAGAAACGTATTCTCAGATCTAGATAATGAAACTTGGAACAGCTATAGCCATCTTGCAACCATTATGTCAGGTAGCTTGAGGATAAAGCCAATATACTGGCCTAGTGGAAAGATAGAAAGAAAGCAGGTCCTTGATGTTGTCTTTGAGTTTCTGAAT